ATAAATCAGTGTGTTGACAGTCCTGGTGAGGGAGTTGTTTTAAACTGTGTGGAATAATTTGAGATTATAATTTAAGTTTCTTATATGTTTTGTCCCAGGCTCCCAGTCATATATTATTTAATGGTTTTGTAGGAAAATATGCACTGTTCAAAAATGGTTTGTCTAAATAAACAGGAATTCACTGGATTTCTTGTCAAAACTTTATTYTCAATCTTCTGACTCCAGTCAGGTTCATTCAGCACTCAGCAGGCCTCAGCATAAGACCTTGAGCTAAACCAAAACAAAACACAGGAGCCCTRCTCTGAGCAGAGACTCTGCAACACACTGCCACTTCTTTTTACTGTAATAATGAATTGACCTTATAATGTTCATCTCTTCCTGGTTACACCCCTGGTAAAGGGGTTACCTTTACCTTTACGTCAGATGTAGAATGTAACTCATTTTTGTTTAGGCTAAAAGAAAGACACACATAAGACACACATCAACTCTTATTCTGTTATGGCCTTATGGCTGCAGTGATCAGAAAGTATACAATATAATGCTGCATCTGATATTMATTTAATCAGTTTCAAAATTACCTTCAGTTTGTTGAACTATACAATAAATTTACCAGCATGCTGCAGGAAAAGATCAGCCAAACTTACTGGGCTGAAAGTTTTCTTTTTCTTATTCAGTTCCTTCGTCTCTTTGGTTTATGTTGATAATGAGTGATTTGAGTAGAATTGTCAAAGAAGCAACAAAAACTTGATGACCTTTTTATAAAATCCTTACATCTGACATTTAAGTGCTTTAAACCAATTTAAAGAGAAATTCAAGAGGAAAGCTGATAATTGTCTTAATAAGATAGTAACTAAAAGCCCCCAGGAATAAAGTAATTGAGGCACACTTTGGTTTATTGCCTCTCCTTGAAAGGGTTCATCTGAAATGCTTTGCTTTAGCCCAACTATTTTTAACTAGCTTTCAGCATTTGGCGCGCACGCGCACACACACACACACACACACACACACATACATACACATACATACAAGCCTACAGACTTTTTAACAGGTGCCAGTGTTTTGTGTAAGAAGTTGTGGCGCTGCGTGCTGTGCTGGAGCGTGTGCATGGAGAATAACTGTGGGTTGGTGTCACAGGAATGTCCGACCTTGCTGGCCTCTGCCGTCGTTTGGCTTTGATTTAACATTCCTTTGGAAGTTTCCATCTTCAGTCACTGGGCTGCAGGGCAGAGGTGGGTTTCTGTGTGATTGCTCGGGTGGCAAAGGACAAGAAGCCATTTTAAATCAATGCTCATTGATTTTAAAATTTCAGTGTCAAACTGTTGATAAAAATGCAAATCATCAAAATACACAACAAAAGCAAATTAAAGATAATTCTCTGTTGCTCTTTTCACACCAAAGTTAAAGATTTTTTTTAAACTTTCATTTATTCAT